TGAAATGGCTATTTTGGGCCTCCAGAAAGGCACTTCTGATTTTGTTTCGGGGAGTTGGAGGATAGGAAGGTCTTAGTGAAACTCTCCCGCTCCACAGACAAAAACAGGATTTTCAAGACAAACAAATTGTTAGAGGCTCTCAGGTGGCCTTGTGGGGCACAAAAATGCCACCCTAATCCAATGTGGACAGACTACATTCACCACTCAATATTTGGCAACATTGTTTACTCTGGATAAACGCATTGGCAAAGGAGCTACCATGTTCTCTAGACTCACAAAGAGAGTATGGCTTAATAAGAAGTTGGCAGCATACACCAAGATCCAGGTCTATAGAGCCTGTGTCCTGAGTACGCTCCTGTATTGCCATGAGACCTGGACCCTTTGTGCATGGTAGGAGAGGAAGCTGAACACTTTAATATGCGTTGCCTCTGATGCATTTTTGGTATCACCAGGCAGGACAAAGTTCCAAATAGAGTAGTCCTAGAATGAGCTGGAATTTTTAGCATGTGTACATTACTGAAACAGTGACATCTACGTTGGCTCGGGCATGTCGTGAGAATGGCTGATGGTGGATTCCAAAAGATCTCCTGTATGGAGAATTAGTGCAGGGAAATCACCCCAGAGGGAGACCACAGCTGTGATACAAGGATATCTGCAAGCAGGATCTGAAGGCCTTAGGAATGGACCTCAACAGATGGGAAATCTTGACATCTGAGTGTTCAGCCTGGAGGCAGGCGTTGCATCACAACCTCTCCCAATTTGAAATGACCCCTGTCCAGCAGGCCAAGGCAAAGAGGCAGTCCCGAAACCAGCAAAATCAGAGAGCTGGACAGGAGACAGATTGTATTTGTCTTCAGTGTGGAAGGGATTGTCACTCTCAAATTGGCCTTCTCAGCCACACTAGATGTTGTTCCAAAACCTCTATTCAGAGCACATTACCATAGTCTGTCAAGACTGAATTATGCCTACATGGATGTTTACTCTTGTGATTCTGTGAATTCCATGGGGGAACATGGGAGTCAAAGATTCCCTGGAAAATAAAGTATTGTCTATTGGGTCCTTTTAAGGAGAAAAGTGGAGTGAAAATATTTTAAATAAGTAAATAAGTACTTATATCATTTTATTTTTAAAAAAATTGAATCCAGAAACATCCCTAGCTCTAGAAATGCATGACCATGTTCTTTCTCAGAAATATCTTTGACCTTTTAAGACAAATAAAATGGACCACATTGTGAAAAAGCGACTGAACGAGATTCCCTCCCTCTGCCCTAAAGGGAAGCCCAGCTTGGCAGCCGGCCCTCAGTACCAGAAAGCGAATGAGGGGAGAACAAAAGGCAAAGAAGCATTCAGGGAGGCAGGAAAGAAGAGGGAGGAAAAGGAGGGGGCTGAAGGAAGAGGCGGGGCAACTGTATAACAGAAGAATGGAAGGAAAGGGGCAGAAGAGGGAGAATGGCCAAAAAGTTTTTTAAAAATAGGAGGGCAGAGATTGGATAGAGTTGGAGAACTCATGGACTGGGAAGCGGGAAAGGTGGAAGGTCCAGATGGAAGAGGCTGCGAGGAGATGGTGTTCCTGGCCCCTGAAGAAGCCTTCTTGTAAGGGAGAATGGAAGAGGCATGAAAAATGATAGTGGGCTGGTCAGAAAGGAGAGAAGGAATGGGGAGAAGATGGAACCCCTCACCCCAATATGGACAGAGTCTTCTGAGGAGGCTTCAGACCAATGATATGACAAAAAAGAGGAAGGAGAAGAATGATGGGCAAGAGCCAGTGCCCTTGCTGCAGATACTGCTGCCAGAGGATATTACTCCTGAGTTGAAGTTAAGAGGGGACTTGACTTGGTTGGAGGGCAAGAAAAAGGAAGATCTGGGGGAGGGGGAGTTCCTGGAACCCTTTTCCTATTCCCATTGGAGGAAGAAGAGAACTTGATACCCAAGACCGTTGCCAATGTCCCTGTTGGACAAGTGTTAATAAATGCTGAAAGCTTGAAGCAGGAGATGGAGTCTGAAGTGGTTATGCAGTGGGACCAAAACAGGGAGAGGCTAAACAGGAACTCTCACACACAGGCCCACATGCATCTTCTAATTACTTCAACAATACTTCTGCTGAATAATCTCAAATGGACAGAGATTATTGCATCAAAACAATGTCAATGTCAAACAGTATGTCAGTTAAGTGTGCAGCTTTAGTTTGGATAAATTAAATACTATGGATTATGAGAGGCTAATAATAGTAAAATAATGCATAATTTTCACTTGGCATTGGGTTTTTGACCCAATTAAAACAGTGCATTAGCTTTGTTCCTATATAATGCTAACTATGACAGATAATCCATATTTTCAGCAACTACAAAGATCTGAGGAAAGTTTTGTTATTTTTAGCAATCCAACAGATGTTGTTCATGATTTTTTTAAAAATAAGCATGCTTAGTAATTTACAAATAAATTGTGCCTCCTACCAGTACAGCCAGCCTGCCTGGCCTTGGACAAGCTGCACTGTCCCAGAAGCACCTTCAGAAGAAGAAAATGGTAAACTACTTTTGAGTACTCCCTACCTGGAAAACCCTGAAAATGGCCACCATAAATTAGATTGACTTGAAGGCACATTATTAATATTAATACAGTAATACTAGTATTTAATCCTTTGTTGAATTAGCTGCTGAATCAGCCATTTCTATGATGAATAGGCAAGAACTAATTAGACCAAATGTGTTGAAATAATCCTAAGGAAAGTCTTGTGCTTGATTCCAAAAGTGAAATGTGCATGAAAAATAATGGTTTTCCAGCAATTCCTGATACAAGAGCCATAAAATACAGAGTATTTAGTGTTTTCTGACACTTCTGCACATGTAATCAAAAGATAAATTCCTACACGAGCAGGCATTAATCTTAAATGCTGGATGTCATCCAAGAAACAGTGTTACCTCAGATTGCCAGTCCTGCTGTTATTGTGCTCCATACAGTCACTTCATGAGCAACCTTCAGAAGGTCTTATCATTAACAGCCCTGCTCAGGAATTGCAAACTCAAGAACATTGTTTCCTTTATTGAGTAAATCCATCTTATAAAAGGTCTTCCTCTCTTCCTTCTGTCTTCAACTTTTCCCAGCATTCTTGACTTTCCAAGTGACTCTTGTTTTCTCATGTTGCATCAAAAGCAGTTTAGTTCAATTGAGTCAATTCTGAGAGAATTCAAGCCTGTTTTTCAAAGCAAAGCAAAAACTCTGTTGCTTATATACTGCCCCATAGCACCTAAAACTCTCTTTTATGAGACACATTGAACTGCACAGACCTTGCAGTTTGGGTCTGTGCTGAAGTTGCATTATGTTCTTGTGTTGGTCATCAGTTTAACTATAACCAACACATACGACCAACACATGACCAACCTTGGTTGTGGCAGCCCTAAATAGCAATAATACAGAGAACTCTAGTACCTGGAAGTCACTTAATATGTTATAGATTGGAATTTGCAGAACCAAGGTGAACCTAAAAATATTGGGATTTTGCATTAACACAGCTCTTTGCCTGTGTGGAGAACTGGCAATTTCACACCTATATGAGTATACTCTATGCCCTTCAACATATAACTATGGAAGATTAGATGTTAACCGCTCCCGTGGGCAGTTCGTGTCGTTCTGCCAACTCCTGCAACGTCGCTGGAACCAGTTGTATTAGCTCGTGCCTTTCCATTGGACTATTCCAGTGACGTGGAGAGGGGGGATTTGCTGCTTGGGTTACAGTCTATCCTCCATATTATTCTACCCAGGCTTCGTGCTCTGGAGAGGACACTCCATACAGAGCATGTTACCATAGTATCTTGAGACTGAAGGATGCCTACACAACTGCTCCAAATGCTCTTGATGTTGCCTATTACTGTGCAAATATTACCAATACATTTTTAATTGTATTGTGGAGTTTGTGACATAAAAAGGCAGAAGCTCTAAATAATATAGGTTGCACCCAGATCAGTCTTCCAAATTCTTCTACCAAAACACTCCCTTCCTGCACTTCCTTTTTCATTTATTTTACCTTGATTTTTCAGGCTGTTACAACGTGCACTTTTCAGAGGGAGTATACAGCTTTGGGGTGTTCCTGGATCTGTCTCGGAGCATGAATGCCCAGGTTTGGGCTGTGTCCAGGAGCACCTTTGCAGAGTTAAAACCAGTGTGCCAGCTGTTGACACATGGCTCAGTTACATCCTGGCTGGATTACTGTTACATGCTGTACATGGGGCTGCCTTTGGGGATCATTCAGAAACTCCAGCAGGTCCAAAATGCTACAGATTGTTAACCATTGCTGGTTACAGGGAACACGTAACTTCTCCATTACAGCAGTTCCACCAACTGCTGATCCATGTCCAGACACAATTCAAAGTGCTAGTTTTAACCTATAAAGCCCTAAATGGCCTGGGTCCAAGCTATCTAAAGACCATACAGTATCTCCCTTTATGAGGCTCAGCTATCGAAACACCATATCTCCCTTTGAGGCTAAGCTATTGAAAGACAGTATCTATGAGGCTATCTGGGTATGAAGATAATCAGGAGAGGCTTTATCTCAGTCCCACTACCTACACAAGTGCTTTTGGTGAGGATACAGAGGGCCTTCTCTGTTGCTGCTCCCAAACTCTGGAACTCCCTCCCACAGAGGCCAGGCTGGCGCCATCTTTGCTGTCCATCCATTTGATGGAGATCTTTCTCTTCAATGACTGGCTGACCAAAGGGACTTTTTTTCATGGATCATTTAATTCTGTTTTACTTGTGTTTTTCATATTGCTCTTATTATGAATTCTAATATATCTTTTTTAGATATTGTACTCATGTATTATTTAGCTTTTAACTTCTTTAGCTTTTAACTTTTTTTCTTTCAATACTGTACGCTGCCTTTGGGAGAAAGGCAGTATTATGAATGTTTTAATTAATAAACAGGTAAACGATATAATTTTCGTTTCCCCGAATGCGGCTGGAGCACTCTTGCTTTCTGTGATGTCTACGATCCCTTAGTATTGATTCAATTCAGGCCCATGGGGGGAGGCGCGGGAACAAAAAGGCTCCGGAAGGCGAAGGAGCCCCATGCGGTCCCGCCACCGCTTCTCACGCAGAGTCCCCCCGGGAGGGCTCTCTGGGGGTGGCAGGGGCGCGCCGAAAAGGGGCCCGCTTCTCTCCGGTTTGGGAAGACCTGTTGCAGCCGGGGCGCTGTGACGCCGCTTCCCCTTTCCGACAAACGCTCTCTTTCTGAGGCGCTCGTCTCTCTTTTTCCTCCCCGGGCCGTGACGGAGGCGGAAACCTCGGGCCGTGTTAGGTTTCCTTCGCCGCCTCCCTTTTCCCGTCAGCAGCCTATCTTGTTCTCTGCTCGGTTTTCACAGGCAACAGACGAGCCTCCTCGGAGAGACGGCCGCGCTGGAGTGAGGTAAGCGGGCCGCCCTTCCTTTCCCTTCCGGAGGCGGAGGGGGCGCGCTAAATGGAGCTCGGCTTGTTTAGAGGTCGGGGTCCCCAGCCCGCGGCGGGAAAGCTCGGGGCGCCTCTTCAGAACATGGAGGCACCGCCAGGCTCGCTTCCTGCCCCCCTTTTTTTCCCCTCCTCGGTCGGCGACTAGGCCTCGGCGCTCGCCACACTCCGGTCCCCGTCGAGGTGGCCTGGCGGGGGGGCCGTTCGACGCCAGAGCCTTTATTTCAGGAGTGGGTCCACTCGGAGAGACGAGGCTTTGGGATAGGTGGTGGCCAGAGTAAATCTCTGGGGCCGCCTTCCTGCGCCTTTCTGTTAAGATCAGAGCAAGGAGGGTGGGGGTGTTCAAGGTAGAACTTAACGAAGTTGTTGTTTATTTATTTATTTATTTATTTATTTATTTTGGACTACTGCTCCCACAGGTTCATAGCCCGCCAAGAGGCTGAGACTCCCACATTAATGACAGTAGCACTGTTGTAGTAGTGGTAGTAGTAGTGATGATATATTTTCAAAACTCAGAACGATTTTCACTCCTTGCTGGCTTTTGCATTGATTATCTGGGAAACTTTGTCTTGCCTGGTGCCCTCTCTCTGTTTCCTTACTCTCATTCTCTCTCTTTTTTTTAAAAAAAAATCGTGGTGAGTTGAATTGTGGCTTGTGGGAAGAGAACCCTCTGCAATGAACACCTTCTGGGAGGCCGCTTCTTTCGGATGGGGTGGGAAATCCTGTCTGTCTACTTATCTGCGGATGCCTTTTATGGAACAAACCAGCTTTTGGGAAGTTAAGGTTCTCACACTTGAACTTTTGGTTTTCGAAGGAGCGGTGTTGACTTCTTGTTATGACAAATGGAAACAACGCGAAAGCAAAAAAATATATTATTTTTTAATAAATAGAACAGGGAATTGGTTACTCCTCGTTGTTCTTTGGTCTCAGGATCACTGGCCCAGACTTGCTGTTAAGTTTCTTCTTTTTCCCATGGAGCCCATTTCCACTTTGTGTTTCTCAGGTTAATTGATTGGGATTGGAGGATGTTTGTTTGTTTCAACAAAACATAAAAGGAGGTCCTGCCAGCCAAGGTATAGATAGCCTCGGTTTTAAGAGAGGCAAAAAGCTGTGTGCTTTTCTTCTGTTGTTTTCTCTCACTTTTAGCTCCCTTAATTTTTTTCTCTGTTAGTTTGAGACTAACAAAAAGTTTGTGTCTAAAAGTTTCTAAAAATGTTGTCATGGAGACCTAAAAGGAAATTTTCTTGCTGGTTGTGAAAGACCATAGTCCTAAATTTCAGAAGGTGAGGAAAAGAGGTTGGTTGTTACAAAGTAGTTCTGGAAAGTAGGCTCCTTTAATAAGACTTCATGTGCTGCTCGCTTAACTCCCAAAATGTCAAAAAAAAGTTGTTCAGTTCCCTAGAGTTTCCTAATTTTTATGACTACTTCTGCTCCTTTTCATATGTTATGCTCCCCCTTTTTTCAGACCAGAGTGGAAACCCCTGCACTTTCCTTAATTTCCAAGTATTCTGTGTTTGAAAGTCCACTGCTTTAGTTATGTGTTCTTTGGGTGGATCTACATATACATTCCCCAAGGTGTTGGTTTCACTATCTGTCAGATTACAGAAAAAGTGTTGACAAGCTGATTCAGATTCTATTTAATATGATGACCTGTTCAACTTACCTCTGTTTCTGTTAAGGGTTTGGTAACAACTAGACATGGGGGTATTCAGAGGTGTACATAACGAGGGTACGGCCCCCTGGGGCCGGACTGTCCACTTACCATCTGCTGCCGCCGTGGGCTTTGCAATCCCTTCCTATTGCTCCTGAGTGCCCAGTCGGCCAGCCACTCTTCGACCTGGCAGAGAGGCTCGTCGTTCCACCTCCTGCCAGGAGTGGCTAATCGACCACAAGCTCCAGAGTGATAGGAAGGGAGCATGGAGACTGCAGCAGCAGCAGACGTTGAGTGGACAGTCCAGACCCAGAGGGGTGGAGTCTCGTTATCTCCACCTGTGAGGAGGTATTCATATAAGAATACAAATACCCCCATCTCTAGTAACAACACTAAGTAAGATCACTTAGGTAAGACTTAGTAATTGACTCATTTTAAGATAATGCAATGTAAAAATATTTAAATCTTTGTAATCCTACATTGTCCAGTTTGTTATAAGTCACTAGTGAATTGTATTTTGTTTTTTGGCTAGCTATTAGTTTTTGCTGTTAAATGTGAAAGTGGGACTTAATGCCTTTACTAGAGGGTGAGTGGGACGTGGTGGTGCTGCGGGCTAAACCGCAGAAGCCTGTGCTGCAGGGTCAGAAGACCAGCAGTCGTAAGATGGAATCCATGCGACAGAGTGAGCGCCCGTCGCTTGTCCCAGCTCCCGCCAACCTAGCGGTTTGAAAGCATGTAAGTGCAAGTAGATAAATAGGTACCACCTTGGTGGGAAGGTAACAGCGTTCTGTGTCTAAGTCGCACTGGCCACATGACCACGGAAGATTGTCTTCGAACAAAACGCTGGGGCTGTGTCTTGGAAACGGGGATGAGCACCGCCCCCTAGAGTCAAACACGACTGGACAAAAATTGTCAAGGGGAACCTTTACCTGTACAGGGTAAAAAGGGTAATATAGGTACGTTTATTATGCTACTATCTATCTATCTATCTATCTATCTATCTATCTATCTATCTATCTATCTATCTATCTATCTATCTATCTATCTATCTATCTATCTATCTATCTATCTATCTATCTATCTATCTATCTATCT